TATCTTATATCTTACATACTATGTCAAAAAAAATGTTCCAGGGCTGGGGATTTAGCTCAGTGGTTCTGCCACCTGCCTCACAAGCACAAGGACCCGAGTTCAAGCTCCAGTACCAAAAGAAAAACAGATAACAAAAACCAAAAAAACATGTTCTGGTTTGTCCATCCTGAAATTGGGGTACCTCACATTCCATGGCAGGAAAAATCCAGAGTCAGTCTCCTTCCTAGGTGTACATAGAGCAGTAATGGTTCTTATGACCAGTTGTGTCTTCCCTGAATTGTGATACTGTGGGATGAATAAATGTTGTGTGTTAGGATTGTTTTGGGCATTGTTCTAATTTCATATACAATAATAGCCTGCAATTATTGTCTGGTTTTGCTGATTAGAGTTCCCTTTGGGACTTAAGTAATGTATTAGTTAAATGATGAGACATGACAGACATTTGTTGTCTCTCTGACTTAAAAATCCCTTCTAGCTCATAAGCAACTTGTGACAGCAGGATTCTGATGGCCTGTCACCTAGAAAGAAAGAGGGACCTGCAGCCTAACAGTGTTTGGAGAAGTTATCTTTTGCTGTCTATTGTCTGTACAAGATTCTTCATTGGCACAGCCAGCCAAGAACTGACTTCTGTGTTTCATCACATGGAGTAGATGTGACCAGCTGTAGTGCCCTGAATCCTGCAACTGCAACAGCTGTAGAATTCATAAGGGGTGGGAAGGTGCCAGGATCAGACTTTTACAGACTTTATTACATATCTTTTCTCCTTACTATTTCCATTTCCAGGAAGGACTTTTGACCACATCTACCCAGGAAGTCATCGCGCATTCTGATTTGTTTTCCCCAGCAACCCCATTGGATAAAGGAACTACGGGTAGAACTAAAACTGTCCTTAGCTTGTTTGATGAGGAAGAGGATAAAATGGAAGGTCCAGACAGCACCCGTGCTCCACAGACAGAAGTGGGAAAGGTGAGCAGAAGGAATACAGGTTTGAGTCCATAGAGGTGCTGGAAGAATAGTTTTGTGTTATTCCGTCATGAGTTAAGGAAGAGATCTTAGCCTTTGGAACAGTGTGTGAATGATTCTATCCTGTCACTCAGATGTTTGGCAATCTGATCAGTGACTTCCCTCCAGAAGCTCTGGGGAAGGGTATTAGAATGACACCTGCCTCTGCTGGGTGCTTCTGGTAAGACTTTGACCCTTGGCCAGTTAAAGGCTGCCAGCAATAGAAGAGGGAGGTCAGACCAGATCTATACTTTAGCTTCTTTTCAACAATTGGTGCTGGGATACTGGTGTCTCCATGCAAAAGAATGAAGCTAGACTGTTACACCACACAAAGAAATAAAACTGAGAATGAGTCATAGATACAGTTGTAAGAAAACTATACAACTCCTGTAAGAGAATGTAAAAATAATCATGTCCTTGGATTAGGCAGAACTTTCTCAGATATATCAAAAGCACAAAGGAGAAAAGAATAGCTAAAACGACTTCATTCCAGTGAAAACCAAAATTGTACTTCAAAGGACACCATCAGAAAAGTAAAAAATGACTCATCAACATGAGAAATATTTTCAAATCATGTACTTGATAAGGGGTATACATCTAGAATACATAAAATACAGCTCCATCATGAAACGATAATCCGATTAAAAGAGGGACAAAAAATGCAAGTGCACGTTTCTACAGAGAAGATGCACAGATGGCTAAAACACATGAAAAAATACTCAGCTTTATCAGTTATTAGGGAACCAGAACCTCAGTGAGTTGCCCACCAGGGAGGTTGGAACTGGAAAAGAAAACAAACAAATGTTGGCAGGGTGTGGAGGAACTGGAATATGAAATGGTACAAGCACTTTGGAAAACAGCATCATGGTTTCAAAAGTTGTTAAAACATGGAGCTGCCACATGGCCCAGCAAGCCCATGCCTAGGTGTGTATCTGAGAGGTGAAAACATGATCACGCAAACATGTGCCGGATATTCCCAGCAGGATTGCGTACAAGAGCGAGCAAAGCAATGAACCAGTTCAAATGTGCACCCTCTGTGGATGGGCCCATGAGGTGCATCCACTGCTGTGAAAGACAATGATCCTCCTACCCACAGATTCACTTTTCAGTTTCAGTTACCCACTCATCCTGCAGTCTAAAAATGTGAAATGGGTAAACTTCAGAAATGAGCAGTGTGTATGTTGTCCCTTTTTCTGAGAAGCATGATGGAATTTTACACTATCCTCATCCCTGCTGCCTGGGATGTGAATCATCTCATGCAGTGTAGCCTCACTGTGTAGGCAGTCTACCCAGTAATCAAATAGTAGCTGTCATGTTTACCAGGCTGACTGTTGGCATCTTGCCCACCTTGTAGTGCCTGTATGTAAGGAAACCTTACTTTCATAATCTTGGTCCCAGAGCCAAAAAGAATGATGCTGTTGACTCAGACATGCCACAGAGAAACAATAAAGCACCTTCCCTGAGTGAAAGGTGAAAGTTCTGGGCCTCAGGAAGGAAACCAAATCCTATGCACAAGTTTCTAAACTTGATAATAAGAACAAATTTTCTGACCCTGAAATTGTGAAGGAAAGAATTCATGCCTCGTTGTGCTGTTGCGTCTCATACTTGAGTTATACCCTACCGGCTGGTAAGTGCTGAACTGAACCTGAAAAAGCGATTAAAGTGTTCAGTGCTATCCAAGGTTTCAGGCATCACTGTGGGTACTGGGATGTCCCCCTTGGATAAGGGAAAGCTGCTGTATTATTTGCCAATATGAAAGTGCAGTAAATACGAGGAGTTGAGTTCTAATGCTATACAGTGCTATAATATGACTATGCACAGCAATTTATACTTTATTGTTTTTATTTTATAAAGACCCAGAGGAAAAGAGTTCTAAAGTTTCTGACATAAAGAAGTGATAAGTATTTAAGGAGTTGGAAATTCTGATTACCCTGATGTTGTCATTACACACTGTATACACATACTTGGTTATCACATGGTACCCCATAAAGATCCAAAGTCAATGAATGGTCACATGAGGCTGAGTGGAAAGGGTGGGTGGGAATGGAAAATGACTGAATGGTTCAGGGTTTCTTTTGGGGTGCTGAGAGTATTGTAAACTTAGATTGTGATAGTGTTTGCACAATTCCATGAATATATTTTAAAATCCTTGGATTGCATGCCCTGAATGAGTGTTCTGTTGTGTGAATGTGTTGTCCCCCTGCTGCTGGGCACTTAGGCCGTGGCCAGCCTTTTGGCAGCATATGGGAAGCTACAGGAGACGTCCTGTGGTATCCATCTTTGCAGACGTGATTTTCATATGCTGCGTCCTTAGAAATGTAGTCACCATGTTCTCAATCTTTTGCCCAGGGTCCTGATCCCAATGCTCGACCCAAGAGCACAGGTGTCTTCCAGGATGAAGAGCTTCTTTTTAGCCACAAGCTCCAAAAGGACAATGACCCAGATGTTGACCTTTTTGCTGGCTCTCAAAAGACCAGGGTTAGTTCGCCACGTGACATTTTCTCACTGTTAGAATCTGTCTTGGCTGCTCACTCAGCTCATGCTGTAAATCACTTTCCTTTTCGGGGCTGAATCTGAATGTTGTCTGTTCCAGTTGGCAGAGCCGAGCATGGGGAGCCTGTTTGGTGATGATGAAGATGACGATCTTTTCAGCTCTGCCAAGACCCAGCCTGTGGTATCAGCCTTTTATCTGTTCTGGTGATGTAAGAGAGGAGACAAATGTCTACTTATCAGAGGAAGGAAATGAACAGAGTTGTGGTGCCCGATCATAAACAAATAGCAGCCAAAAATGCTGGTCAGAACACATGTTTGGGATCTCAATTTGTGCAGTTGCCTGTCCTGTGTTCCCTCACTTGACATTAAAACCATAGCTGGTGCAGGCCCTCCGACTGCATTACAAACATGTTTGATTTATTGGAAAACCATTGCATATATACTGTAGCGAATCTGTGTTAGTACCTCTCAGGCACAAACTAATTTGAGTTCTAACCCATATGTGTTTTTTTTTCACCTGCCCCACTAAATTTTATTTCTGTCACAGAGAAGAATGCTGTGAAAGGCACAGTCTTTTTCTTTTCTTTTTTCCCCCTTTGCTTTTGTGGTTTTGGGCATCAAGGCTGGGGCCTTTTGCATGTTAGGCAGGCACTTTACCACCAGCTGCACTCCCAGCCCTGGAAAGTTATAATGCTCAGAATGCTCTCTGAAATGCTACTTTTGATCTCCTCAACCCTCAGTGAAGAAGGAAATTTTTTAAATCCAGAAATCAAGTTCCTCCTTGAATTACGATTTTTCTTTAAAATGTTTAAGATATGTGGCACACTAGCATTTTTTCCTTTTGTAGGTACTGGAAAAAAAGAAGGTGGTAAAAAAAGACAATTCTCTTTCCTCTTCGAAGAACCAGAAGCATCTCGAATCTACTCAAGATATCAAAGAGAAAAGCATATGGAAACCAGAAACAGCACAGGTTAGATATCTTTAGGATTTCCAGTTCTTGTTGCATCTGAGTACAGGTTAGTTCCACTGTGCAGACCCAGAATTACTTCACCCCAGATAGAGCCTGTCCTTTTTGCTGTATCTTTTATCCCTGTTCATCTCTTCTCCCTTTACTCCACTGCAGTCTCCCTGGTCTGTATTCAGTCATTATTTTCTGACCTGATTCCAGATTCAGTTTCAAACTGGAGCTTACGTGGAGTACAGAGCCTCCTCTTCTCCTATGCTCCATGGGAGTAGAAGTAAGTTAGAGTTACTATGAATTCCACTGATTGCCACTTACAGGGTGGTGGCTGTCAGTTCCTCTGCAGTCCTTCCAGAACTCTGAAATGAGGGCTGGCATATCACCATGCACACATCCCACAGCTCAGATCCTTTGCTTGGAGAACCAGGCTAGGCTGTGGACAGTCCCTGCTCCTTGACGCCTGCTGTGTGGGATGGCCAGCATGGTCATTTGCCAGTGGCAGGCCTCCTTCTGACAAGCTGCAGCTCCTAGGAATCCTAGGCCTTGTGTCTCCCACTACTCCATGTGTCACTGACAGCCTTCCACCTGCATGTGGGAGGAAGGCATAACCAAGGGGCACTAGCAAGTGTGAGGCCTTGGGAGAGCTACATGATCTGCAGAAAGTGACAGTGTTGCTCCACAGATCTGCCCCCAGGATTGAGTGTAACCCAGGAGACGCTTGGCTCCCTGTTCCCCACCGATCATTAACAATGTAATTTTTCACAGGATTCATCAGGTCTCACTCCACTTAAAACCAAAGAGCCATCCACTCGGATCGGGAAAATACAAGTAATTATAACGGAACCTTCATTACCTGCCTTGTGGCATCTATAAACCTGTTTCTATTTTCACTTTCCAGCTGCTGCAAGCATTTTCTCATCTGTGCCCCTAGTCCAGCACTCCCTGCACTCCCTGGTTGTTGCTTCTGTGTGCTGTGTCTTTTAACATCTTTTCTTGGTCCCTGTGATGGGTGCAAGTGTGTTACGCTTTGGTCTAATTCTGAGGATCAGGCAATTTTCCTACATTTCTCCTCTCTTGTATTTTGAATTGTAAGCACTGAGTCTCATCATGTGTGGCAGGGGTGATATTAGGCTGCTATATTTAACAACAAATACCAACTTTCCTTTTTCTTCTTCAGGCAAATTTAGCGATTAACCCGACAGCCTTGTTGCCTGGAGCAGCTCCCCAGGTCCTAGGAGCAAAACCTGTTTCTCCAGAATTGGCTCTTCCTTCCACGGGACCTGGAAGGAACCTCGTTGTGGATGGTCAGCCTGCTGCTCCTGGGCATGGGGAGGCCGGTGTGAGCTTTGATCTTCCTGCACAGGCAGACACCTTACACAGTGCCAACAAGGTGATGTGACTGACTGTGCTTTGCTTCAGCAGAACAGCCTGGCTGCCTCTTCCTAGTCCATGAGTTACACACAGTAGTCCTGCTCTGACACCCCGTCCTTCCTTCAGCCTCCTTCCCTCTTGTTGCTCTCCACCTCCCCAGTTCCACTGTTTCCATATCTCTAGTGTTACATGTACGTTTTGCATAATAGCCATGCAGAAGTCCCCTAGCCTCAGTTGGTGTCTGCTGCATGGATCACCCCCAACTTGCAGTCACTTCTGTCACCACCCCCTCACCCCACCTGCCGATGTCTGCTGGCCAAGCTTTCTCTGTCTCACAGCCTTACTCAGGACCTCCCACCTTGTGTCCTGGGCTCCAACTCCAAGATCCTGGGGCACTTTCCTCCCCAGCTGGGAAAGCCGTCAGTGGCCTCCCAACTCCTGTACATGTTCCTTCCATGTTAATGCACTTTCTTTTTTCCATCCAATCATCTTCCTTCTCTAGAAAGTCTTAGCTGGTCCCTGAGTTATCCACAGGATCTAGGAGACCTAACCCTGGCAGATACACTCAAGGTTTCCAAACTGTTTTCATAGGCAAAATAAAACATCCTTTTGTAGGTAGCTTCTGTTAACTCTTTTGTTTGTTTAAATTGATTACTTCCTAAAATTATTTAGGAAATTTCCTTGAAGTCGACAGACATAGACAAGTACTTTGCCCAAAGTAGGCTGCACCTTCTCTGAACTAAATTTGTGTATTTTCGTAAATATCAAAAAACACCAGATTATGTCTCAAAGTTATATTAAGGGTTCTGATTTCTGGCTATATTTTTTGCATTCAATACCTGGTGTTTGTTGAAGAAAGCCCGTGGGGTTACCTTTCTTGTTGCACATTTCCCCAGACCTAGAGCCTGAGAAAATGTTGGTACTGGAGTCTCTGATATTTTCTTGTTTGGAAAGATGCATGTTTGAATTGAGGGCCGAGGAAGTGCAAGGGAGAGGGTTGTGGGTCACAGGGTACCCATGCACCTACTCCCAGGGCTCCAGCAACCACTGAAACTTCTTATGTGAAACTAAACTGAAACTGCCCTTAGACCCAAGAATGGAGAATGTAAAGCAGTAAGAAAGAGTCTTGGAGTAACACAACCTATAAACTCCTTCTTTGGAATTGCTTAAGAGATAGATAACCTGTCTATTAAATGGTACCTCAACTGACACAGGTCAGATGCCTGTGCAGTATTTTGAGTTGATGATTCTTCGCTGTGTTGACTTTGCACGCTTAGTTTATCAAATCCACACATGCTGTTTTTGGTATTGCAGAGTCGTGTCAAAGTGAGAGGGAAGCGCAGGCCACAGACTCGCGCAGCCAGGCGTCTGGCTGCCCAAGAATCCAGTGAGGCTGAGGACACGAGTGTCCCTGGAGGCTCCATCACACAGTCGGCAGATGGTTCCGCTTTGCCCAATGGCCGTCAGCCTCAGCCCAGAGCGGCCAGTGTAGAAGTCGGGTCTGAGGAGGCTGTGTCTACTGCTGCTTCACCTAGGGAAAGTGGTCCTGCACCTACGATGGACAGGAGCCCCTTTGTGATGGCCCTGAGCCAGCCCAGGGGTGAGACTGACCTGTTTGATTCTGAGGACATGTTTTCCAAGAACACAGGATCGCAGTTCACAGAGAGAGCAAAAACCAAGGCAAAGGTCATGGAGGTCTCAGCCCACCTGGTTGAGGGAGGCAAAGAGAAGAGCTCCCTGTTTCCTGCCCTCGGTGAGGCCTACAGCGATGATGATCTCTTTCAGTCTGTTAAGCCGAGACCAGAAAAGAAAACAAACCCTTTTCCCCTCTTGGATGATGAGGACGATCTCTTCACTGACCAGAAAGGCAAGAAGAATGAGCCCAAGCGCAGCAGTCAGCAGGATTTTGTATCAAAAACACAAGATATTTTTGAGGTAACAAGTACTCCATGGCTTATTTGAGCCAGGGGTATGTTCAGCTTGTTTTGTGCATGCCTAGTGTCTACATGCTTAGTAATTCACATCTCGTATTAATAACTCTGAAGTTTACTCAGAAGTGTCTTTGTTTCACATAGGGGTAGTTCTTGATCATAATCCTTGATACAGGTTCTGAGGTTTTTTGGGGGGGCTGTGCTGGGATTGAACCCAGAGCCTTGCAACCACTAGGCAAGTGCTCTACCACTAATGTATACCCTAGTCCCAGGTCTTGGTTTCAGAGTTTGATTTATTTTATAGACCATTGCTGCCATCATTGTCCTTGCATGCCATGCTGCAGCATGTGAGAAGTGTGTGGATATGGCTTTTGTGGTGATCCTCTGATTCTGGGAAAATAGGCCCTGCCTAGAGCTGCTGGCTTAGCAGAGGCCCAGGCACTGTGGCCTTGGGTAGGAACTACTTGGCCATTGTTGACTATCTGGGTCCCAGGTACAAGGTGAACTAGGATGGGTACACTTCTCAGAGCTCTCAGGGAGTGGAACAAGACAAAGAGGGCATCAAATGATCGAATGTTTTCCGCACCAACGGCATTCCCTGGAGGATAGGAAAGCTGGCTTCTGAGCTGCTGTGGGCCAAGTGCAGGTCTGGACGGCGCCTCTCAGGCTTAGATGGGTGTCTCTTAACACCCTGCTAGTGTGCATGTCTAGAACTCACAAAATGTTTTTAGTAACAACAAAATATATATAATTGTTTTGCTTTTTTTTTTTTTTTTTTTTTTTTTTTTTTTTTTTTTAATTTAATTTATTTTTTTTTTTTTTTTTTTTTTTTTTTTTTTTTTTTTTTTTTTTGCCTAATAAGGATGATATATTTGCTACAGAAGCAGTTAAACCATCACAAAAAAAGAGACAGAAGGAGAGAAATTTGGAACCCAGCTTACTTGATGATAACATTGATATCTTTGCTGACCTAACCCTAAAACCAAAAGGAAAGTCCAAAAAGAAAGTGGAAGCTAAGTCTATCTTTGATGATGATATGGGTAAGTCTGGTGTTCCACCTTGGGCATAGAGAATTGATAGCCCTCAGTGCCTGGTCTGGACTATGTCTGGCCCTTTCCAGGAAACCACCCCTGGCCTGGTCCTTGCTTGCTCTGATTTGGGCTAAGGCTGAATAAGTCTCCTGCCTAGACTCTCAGGTGAAGCAGCCTCTTAGCATGGTGGGCTTTGGAGAATACAAAGGGGCCCAGAATTCCACCTTTAAGCACAATATAACTTCTGCTTTGGTGGGTCATCCTCTGTCACACACTGATGCAAGCACTGCTGTAGGCTGAGGCAGCCACTTGGGGCCAGGGAGTTGTTGGTTAAATCAGTTCTAGCTGGAGAGTGAGGGCCAGTGGTTCGGAGATTGGGGCAGAACTACAGGAGCAGGGTCATCTTCCCAACTTAGCATCTCTCTGGGTTCTTCTGTTTGTACACATGCTTGCAGAGCCCCTGCTTGGCAAATGGAGAATCCAGATACCCCATAGCCATAAAGATGGGGCTTCTGATGGCCTAAGTAAACTTAGCTGAGGCCAGACGCACTCTTCCTAGAGGTTCCCTCTTCCCCCAAGTTAGCCTTGGGCCTGGTGCCACACACCCCCCACCAGATTGGCCTGCTCCCCCAGGCAAGCCTGTACTGTCCCACAGAGGTGCAAAGAAACTTCATTTGTCTCTTTTATTACCAGATATGTAAACGCACGTGCTTAGGGAATAAACAACTTAGAAAATGTGAAAAGTGTAAAGAAAAAGCCTTAGAGAGTAACCATTATTCAGAGTTTGGTAGATGTTTTCAGACATGGTAATATTTCAGAAATAAGAATAGACTTTACTTTTCTGCTGTTCCTTTTAGTCACCTTTCAATATCTTTCCTTGTTAGTACATAGAGTTCTTGAGTTTGGTGGTTATGAAGTACTGCTATTTATTTAGCCTATTAATAGCAAGCTAGACTGTTTCTAAATTTTCTCTAATATAAATAATGCCACAGTTTTTTGCACTTGTCTTTTTATGTACACATGCCAAAAACTTGGCCTAGCAGAATCCTACCAGTAACATCACTGCACATGGTACATAACCAGGACAAGTTTTACAGTCTGTGAAACACTACGTAGATACAGTCATGACGACTTCATTTTTTCCATGGTGCCTCAAATTGATATTTTTATTCTGAAAGAAATTGAATCATAAATTGGACTCCCTTCACACATCCTTTTTGCCCTTTTAAAATCCACAGTGAAAAAAAGGTAGAAATAAGTCCACTGTCCCATGAGAGAGCCAGTCACACTTTCCTTTCCCCAGTCCTGCACATTCATACACATACTTTGTGGCTGAGGGAAACTACAACTTGCATGTTATCCTAAAACTTAATCAAGGGCCAGGGATTTAGCTTAGTGGTTCTGCCACCTGCCTCACAAGCATCTCTGGTACCAAAAAAAAAAAAAAAAAAAAAGAAAAGTACCCATTTTCTTGCCATTAAGCCACTCTTTTTCTCTTCAAAGATGATATCTTCTCTGGTCTCCAGACTAAAACAACCAAACCAAAAAGCCGATCTGCACAGACAGCGCCTGAACCAAGATTGAAACACAAGGAGTCCAACATATTTGATGATCCCCTGAATGCTTTTGGAGGCCAGTAGAGCCTGTGTAGTATCTGTGTCTCGCCCTTCGGTTACATTCTTTAGTTAGAGATGTTGACTTACATGCCTATTGTCCTACCTGAATTATAATAAAGACAAATACTGAAACAGCTAATTCACCTTCTACCCTATGTACTTAGTATCTTTTTGCACTGATTTTAATCAAGCTTAATACTGCACAACAAAAATAAATGTTTCGCAATGATTGGTTGGTTTTTATTTCACTAGGGCCACGGTAAGATTAGGGCATGTTATAGAAGAAATCTGCTTGTAACTTTTCACAGCTGACCACACAGATGCCACACAGATGAAGGGGTCTGTGTTAATGGGTGGGAACCCTGTGGGGGAGCCCCAGTTTAGTCAGGCCCTAGGCAGATGAGAGATAATGCTTCATGAGTCTCAGCCTTTAAGAAGTGGTTTCCACTGAATTCTAAAGATGCCTCTTTAAGTCCTCTAAGGAAAGATTTTGAAAACAGTGGCCCTGCTTCTTCTGGCTATATAAATAGTGTTCTTAGAACACAGCCACACCCATTTTTTACATATTGTCTGCCTGAATTCAGCCCACAAACTGCCGGAGTTGAGAAACTGGGACAGTCACTGGGATGGGCCACAGCTCCTAAGGTGTTTCTCCCTGCTGCTTACAGAAAGCTGGCTCCCCCTAGGAGGAACCTACTTCCATCTCCGCAGCCTTGCACTTCATTGTGGAGGCAGCAGGGTGAGCCCAGGTCACAGCACAGGGGAGACAGACATGTTTAGGATGGAGATTATGTCCTGCTGAATGCTGCACTGGCAGACATGTCCTGGCTGCTAGCCACACAGAGGGCTATCCCATTCTGGCCATGCTTTCCTGGGCTGTGCTAGCATGCTGATGAGTATTCAGTCTAACCATGGAACAATCCTGTAGGCCAGCCACACTGGCCTCACCAATTCTGGACCTCTAACTCTTGGACAGGCACGTTAAGAATGGACTGAGAAGCTGAAACCCCCACACTCAAGCTGAGGCAGGAGGATCACAAGTTTGAGCCCAAACTTTTCTTAAAATATTTTAAAAAGCAGCCTGGGGATGTAGCAAGTATGAAAACTCGGGGTTCAATCCCCAGTCCAAAATCAAAACAAGGCTGGGGATGTAGCTTAGTGGTTCCGGCGCCTGCCTTGCAAGCGCAAGGACCCGAGTTCGATCCCCAGTACCAAAAAAAAAATCAAAACAAAACAAAATGTGTGGTAGTTACCTATACCCAGAGCCAGAGGTTTTGCACCGCTTGAGTGGATCAGCGGTCCTCTGCTGTAAAAGTGACACTTGGTGGAAGAGGGTGCTTCCTAGTTGCCTTCTTCTCCTAGGTGTGTTTGTGTATCTAGCCTGTTCTGAGCTAGGGCTCAGGGTCAAGTCCATCTTCAGTACCTGACCTTTCTTTTGTAGTCAGCAAATCTAGTCAGTCATTGGGACTGATTCTAGGGGATTTGGGAGACAAAACAAGATTAAAAATACATTGCTATTTTGAGGGGTTTGGAAGGCGGGACTGTGGCAAAGTTCCTATGGTGGCACTCATACTACTTTGTTTTTTTTTGTTTTGTTTTGTTTTGAGTCTCACTGTATATCACCAGCAATCCTCCTGCCCCTAGAGTGTTGGGATTACAGATATGCACCACCATGCCCGACCTGAATGTTACTCTTGATTCAGCCTCCACAATTCATCACCTGGGCAGTGGCCTGAATTCCCAGTCTAGGAGCGGGATAGGATAGTGGAACAGGACTGTATTTTTTTATTCTGCTCAAGATTCAAATCTGACTCTCTCACTAAGAGACAGTAGACAACATGCTGTGCCTTATTTAGCTTTTGTTTTCGGCTTTGTCAGTGAGGGTTCAATTCTGTACTAATCTTGCAGGACAGTGGAAAGGATGTAAAAGACCCTTGAAAACTATCTGGCACTTGAACAGTGGTGGTAGCAGGTGCTGTTAAGAACGAATGACGCAAGAGACAGCCAAGACAACTCTGTGCCACTCCAAAGCCCAGGCTGGAACGTTCAATTTTGTAGTCCGCACCTAGGTGCTTCCAGTCTCTGAGCACCAAGGAGGAAACTCCCGCCAGACCTCGGGGTTCAGGCAGAAGCCGGTGGTATCTACGGGGACCAGATCAGGCTTCTGTTGGAGTCCCGTGCCGGGAACGCGGGCAAGCGGCCCGGACTTCAGATGCCCCACGAGCGATATGCCCGCTTTCCACACGAGACCACGAAGGTGGACTGGTGGGAACGGCGCGGTGCAGGGAAGGGAGTATAAGCCGGGGGTGTACGCTCTAGAAAAGCACAGCGTGCGCAGCGAGCAGGAACTCTACTGGGCTAAGCCTTTCAGGCCGCGTTCTCCGTTGCTAGACAACGAAGCCACATCCGGGCTTCTCCAACCGACTTCCAGTCGGGCTCCTGCCAACTCCGTGTCCCAGTAACCACTGGTGTCGGCGGCCAGCCCCGCCCCGCTGATTGGAGGGCGGAGTGAACACAGACTCGCGATTGGTCGACGTATCACAAAGGGGCGGTGCGCTCAGTGCCACCCTCGGCACCGCTGGCGGGAGCTTCGTCCAGGTGAACCTGAGGTGGGCGAAGTAGCGAGTGGACCGGCGTCAGGTGAGTGGGACCGGGCAGAGTGGTATAGGCTCTCGCTGGAGTCGGCCAGGGGGAAGAGGGCTGTCTCCTGGCGGGTGACGGCAGCGGCCGGTTTGTGCTATTGGGGTGTCAAGTGACTAATGGGCTACGGAGCGTGCGGCTGGGCGGGACGGGTGAGGACGAGTGACAGGTGTGTGCGACAGGTGAAGGCGGCGGCAGGTGTGTGTGGAGGGCCGCGTGGCCCGTATACTAGCCCTAAACGTTGTCCCTGCTCCCTTGCCGCTCACTCCAGGCTGGAGGCTAGGCGCGGAAGCGCTGAGGTGGACGGACTCGAGAAATGTACTTTGGGACCGTGATGTTTTCATGTCAGTAAAGGAAAACTGTCAGCCTCTTCAGGAGCACATCGCGTCACGGTGTCTGTGTGCTGGTGGACAATTTGCAAGGTGAGTGCCCGAAGGTAGTACGGCTTCTTTAAGACGGAGCAGACTCAAACTTAGTGAAATTACTGACTCAGTGCCACTATTGCCTTATGCATTTAACTTTCCTTTCATCTTTGATGGTAGTTTTTTTTTAACTTTTCAAAAAAGATAGATATTTTGGTAATTAATTTGGAATTGTTCTTTGATGTAATTACACTAAATAGCTTGTTATTTTTTTATTATTTGTGAGAATTCTGGATACTTTAGTTGTCTTCTTTCTTTTTTTCCTATTTTAGCAAATTTGTGGAGATTTTATTGTTGTTGTTGTTAGGTTGTTTTGTTTTGTTTTGTTTTTGAGGGTCTTCTCTCTACATTCTGACTGGTTTTGAACTCACTATGTTTCCCAGGCTGGCCTCAAACTCACACCAATCCTCCTGACTTGGCCTCCTGAGTGCTGGGATTACAGGTTTGCACCACCTCGCCCAGTTATTTTTAGTAATTCTTATATCATCCTCCCTCCCATCTTTGTTTTCAATGCCCCTTTCATTTTCCAGCATTAATAGACTCAGCCAGGCATGACTGCATGCCACTTTGAGAAGCCCTCTGCTGGCCCAGCCTTTAGTATTGACTAGGTCTCTGGCCCTCTGGGACTTGAATTTGGTCATTTGGTCCTCCAGACTGCTTTGACTACATACATGGCTTCATTTCATCCTCTACTACAGTGATCTCTGCCACTGAGAGGTATAGCTTTTCTAGAGACGAACATCATTAGTTCCTTGATTCTCCATTTTGTAAATTATTCCATTGGCTGGGCTGTGACTTAGGGTAGAATGCCCAGCACAGTTAATCCTGTTTTTACCACACTGTGGTTTTCCTTTCAGCCTAAAGTCATTTTGTCATTCTTAGATGAAAGACTTCCAAATCTGTTACCCTTTGTTTTCATGGTATTGCTACAAAAATCACTGTGGTGAAGAAAACATTCCTTGTATCCTTGGTTTCCAAATTATTTGGGTAGGCATTGATCACCTAAGGCTTACCTCTTACAGTGTTCATTTTAGCATTCTTGACACTTGACCCCTGTTTATAGTGCTGCTTATTTGTAGGTAGGAGTGCTGTTGGCCTAGGGGGAGTAGAGACAGAATTCTGTAGTAGACTCTTATTTGATGTTTCATAATGTATCATGTTATGTTTTTAAGAATCCATGCTAAACAAAATCATTTAAAAAGCGGTTGCCTCTGGTTCAACATATACAAGTTAATAAATAGTACCAAGAATGAAAATCATGTGATCATCACAATTTATTCTGAAAAGACCTTTGACAGAGTTTAGCATCCCTTCATGATAAAAGCCCTGAGGAAACTAGGTACTGAAGAATCGTATCTCAAAATTTAATATTAAGGATTAATTATGACAAACTCCCAGATAACATCATTCTGAATGAGGGAAAAAACTGAAAGCATGTCCTCTAAAATCAATGAGGCAAGGATTTCCACTATCCCCATTCCTGTTCAGTATAGTCCTTGAAATTTTATTTAGAGAAATTAGGCAAGAGAAAGCAATTTATACAAATAGGAAAAGAAGACATGATATTATCTTTCTTTAAATGTGATGTGGTTCTATGCTGGAAGGTCCTAGAGACTCCACTAAAAGACTTATAGCTGATAAATTCAGCAAAGTAGCAAGGTACAAAATCAATATTTAAAAAATCAATAACCTTTTCTTTACACTAATACTGAACTAGCAATGAAAGAAATCAGGAAAATAATTCCATTCACAATAGCAAAAGAAAGACAAATAAAAAACTAGGAATCAGCCAAACCAAGAAAGTGAAAGACCTTTACAATGAAAATTCTAGAACTCTGAAGAAAGAAATTGGAGGAAACATTAGAGTTTGAAAGATCTGCCTTGTTCGTGGACTGACAGAATTGATTTTGTTAAATGGGCTATGTTACCAATAGCAATTGACAAATTCAGTCAGTTCCTATCAAACTTCTAATGATTTTCCTAACAGAGTTGGTAAAAAAAATTCTAAACTTCGTATGGACACACAAAAGCCCTAGAATAGCAAAACAATCCTAAGAAAGAGAAAGCAAGGCTAGAGGCATCATAATACTGTTGCCGGGGTGGGGTGGTTGATAAATGACACTGGGAGAAGGGAAGTAAAATAAAGAAAAAGTTTATTTTGCTAGCAAAAGGCCAATTACCAAGACCCATGCTAGAGATTGACCCCACACTGGGTTACACCTCCTTCTTTTACAGTGTTTTACAGTCATGATCTCATTCAGGTGGTTACATTTCATTCAGTTCACATTACTAATATACAAATCATGGTCACAAGAGAGTTAACTTTAACCCAAATGTAGCAATTCTTTGTAGTTAGGGAGTTTACCTTTACTATTAGTCTAGCTATCTATTCTAGCCTGCAGGAAGCGGGTATTCAAGGTCAGGAAAGCAAAGTTAAACAATTGTTCTTTTCATCTTGACAGTTTTATGATCATGTGGCTCACAAAACTTCAGAGTTTGGAGTCTTGATGTGCCCTGTTATCTCAAGATGAGGCCAGATGTCCCATTGTCCAGTTAATGCCTCCAGTGTGTCTGTTAATTCTGAACTCAACAAAGCAAACTACTGTTAGAAACAGCAAAAGCCATTCTACATTGTGATATTTTGTAGGTTTTACTATTTACAAGAGTTTTCTCTTTCAATATGTGATTTCAAATTATACTACAAAGCTGTGGTAACAGAAACAGCCTGGTACTGGCACAAAAATAGACACATAGACCAAGAGAATAGAATGGAGGATACAGAAACAATTTCACACAACTATAGCCATCTGATTCTTTTTGTTGTTGCTGGGGTTTTTGAGGGGGAGTGTTTTGTTTGTTTGTTTGTTTGTTTTTGAAACAGGGTTCACTGTAATTGAAGCTGGCCTTAAACTCACTGTGTAGCCCAGGCTGATGGTGATCTCAAACTCATGGTGATCTTCCTACCTCAGCCTCCCAAGTGTTGGAATTACAGATGTACACCACCATGATTTGCAAAGTGATGCCTTGTCAATCTGATTTTTGGCTAAGGAGCCGAAAAACATCTATTAGAGAAAAGACAACCTCTTCAGCAAATGTGAGGAAAACTAGATCCCTAATGCTCATCCTTTACAAAAGTCAGTTCAAAATGATTAAAGACCTAGAAACTTTGAAACTGCTAGAAGAAAATAGGGGAAACAATTGAAGCCAAGGCATGAGCATGGGACTAAAACTCCAGTATCACAGGAAATAATAGTGAGAATCAACAAATGGGACTATATCAAACTAAAAAGTTTCTGCACAGAAAGGGAAAGAACCACCAGGCATAGTGGTGCACACCTGTAATTCTAACACTCAACAAGCTGAGGCAGGAGGATTGCTGTGAGTTCAAGGCCAGCCTGAACTACATAGTTCAAGGCCAGCCTTAACTACACAGTGAAGCCCTGTCTCAGAAGGGTGGGGAAAGACAATCAACAGAGTGGAAAGATCACCTAAAGAATGGGAGAAAATCTTTGTCAGCTACTTTTCTGAAAGAAGATTAGTATCTGGAATATATATAAAGCTCAAAAATTCAAATACCCCAGTTGATAAGTGGGCAAATGAGTTGAACGGGCCCTTCTTGAAGAAGAAGTGGAAATAGCCAATAAGTACAGGAAAAAAAATGTTCCACATCTTCAGCTATTAGGGAAATGGAAATTGAAACTACATTGAGATTCTATCTCACCCCAGTCAGAGTGGCTATCATCAAGAATACAAAGCACAATAAATGTTGGCAAAGGTTCAGGGGGAAGAGGAACCTTTCTGCACTGCTGGTGGAAATGTAAATTAGTATAGCCACTACAGAAATTAATATGGCAGCTCCTCAAAAGACTAAACATGGGACTACATCCCCAGCCCCAGCTATACCACTCCTTGGTGCACACCCACGGGATTTAAAGTCAGCACACTACAGGAATATCTGCATGCTGGTGTACATGCAGCACAATTCACAGTAGCACAGATATGGAACTAGTCCACGTGGCCAGCAGCAAACAAATCTGTAGAGAAAATGCAGCATATTTACACAGTGGAGTATTATTCAACCATAAAGAGAAACAAAATCACATTCATAGGAAAATGGGTGGACCTGGATATCATCATTTCAAGCAAAATAAGCCAGACTCAGACAAGTATCACTTATTTTTCCTAATATGTGGAATCTGAAAAAGATAATGTGAAAGTAGGAGACACTATTAGACAAGAGGAAGGGAATAATGGGGAAGTGGAAGGGGGTATAGGGAGGGCAGTGGGGCGTGGATATGATCAAAGTAGATTATAGGTATATATCAAAATTCTGCAGGGAGACTTAACATTTTGTGAAATTAATAGGCACAAATAAAATATAGTTTTTAAAATGCACCTGTCTCCACAAGAGAAAGAAAAAGGATTAGGGCTATAGACCTGCATCTCACTATAAGTCACTTTCACTTCTTTCTTTGTGTACGCATGTAGCTAGGTAACTTAGTAAATCCTTGCCAGGCACTCTTCCACATTAAACTACATTCCCATCCCATATTTCACCATAAAAGATAAAAGAAAATAATGAAACCTGAGCAATATAGCTCTTTATCCAGCTTTTATTTAACATTAAGGAACTTACTGTCACCAGCAGTAATAGCACAGCACATTGTATTGTGTATATTACTCATTATTTTGATAAATAATATAACAGCCCTCAAAGCACCTGTAATATTAGCAACTTTCCCTCCTGTACTGCCCTTTCTCTAGGAGCATTAGAAATCTGTCCAATACAATTCAGGTCCCCTAATTAATTATATTTTCTATGAATTTTATGCTAGAACACAAAAGCCATGTAAACAATGATTGTTATGGGTACTATGTATAATATAGACAATGGTACAAAAGGAAGTAAATATAGAAGGTCTTTTGGGATAGTTGATATTTCAGTTGAATATTTTTGCCATGTTGAAGATCAAACCTAGGATCTCTTGTTTGCTAGGCAA